ACTATTAAAAAAATAAAAATAATAATAAAAACAATATAACAATCACATATTACTGCGAAATATAATACTTGCATTGTAATTAAAATCTCATTTTTCGGCAGAAAATAAATTATTTATTCATAATTAAGCTTGATACAATTTTTAACAAATAAGTTAATAACGTAAAACACTTAACAAATGTAAGAAAAAAGGCATTAGTTGGCGCTTGTAAATTATTTAAATGTGTATGCCTCTAAAAGTGAGCAATTATTTGGTGAAACGTGAGGGGGTTAATTTAAGAAATTTCAATACGTGTGTTGTGGCATTAAATACTTTTAAAACATTTTGTTTGGTTAGTTACATGCTATCCCATTGCAAATCATCAACATCAGCGGGTATACTCACAGCCTTATTGCGTTCATAAATAATTTGTTGCTCATTCTCCTCGCGACATTCCTTCAGCGCCATGTTTAATTCGTCTATCTCCTCCTCGAGCAACTTTATCTGGAAAAAAACAGAAGTGTTTTAGTTACAAAATTTACAGATTTAGTAAATCGATATTACGTGTTTTTAAATGTTTCTTCCTTGCTTCACGCCATTTTTTTTTTTCAAAATTATTGTATACACATGCACACGTACACAGCTTTTCCAAATTAAAAACTCATTCGTATGCTTTTTAATCGAATCTTACTTTAAAACACACTGCACCGTTTGGTAAAGCGGCTGGTGCATGCTGCCATATAACATACCTTATCTTCGCGCTGCTTCATATCGTCCTTTAGCTTCAACATTTCGAATTCTAATTGCTTGACTTTTTCATTTAAATCGTCGCGTGCTCGCAGCGCCTTGCGTTTTTCGGTCGTCTCTTCGGCAACTTGTTTTGACAGTCGACTAACTTGCGTTTCCAATGACAAATTCTGACCGCTCCATGTACTTTTTATATCGGATAGCTGCAGATGTGCTTCTTCTAAATGCTGTTCGAGCATTTTACGTTCTTGCACTAGCGCTTGCATTTTCTCGTCTGCACTGAATGAATTAATCGCGTCCAAGCGTGCTTGTTCCATAATTTGTAGACGCATCTTTAAATGGCGATTTTCTTCTTCAACAGCGGCCAATGTTGTGGTTAAGTTATTTTTTCCCAGTTGAGAAGAGTGACGTAGACGTTCCAATTCATCCTGTAAGAAAAATGTTAGCAATGTTAACAGGTATATATAATTTCTGATAAGCTAAGCTGTAGATATGCTAACGTAGTTATACACATACCCACGCACCGTCTTAACAATTATACGTACCAGCATGAGTCAGCGTCAACTTTAACTGTACACCAAAATGTATAAAGCATAGAGTGTTTTCTTTTTATTTGGCGAAATAAAATACATAAATGTGAAAAACGTAGACAATGTTGTGGCAAACTAAAATTATGTTGAATTTTTAATGCGAAAGAAAGTTCTTAAATAATACAGTCTGTAACCAACAACAAAGCAACTGTAGTATGGTAGCTAAAAGTATACGCAGCACTATACGTAATTTACTGTTAAAGCCAATAGATATTACTTAAATAAACAAGAAACAAAAAATTGATTGATAAGCACTGCGGTATTTAAAAGCCTATATTCAGCTACATATACATTTGTATATACATATTATATATCGAAACGCACAAAACACATAAACTGGCAAACAGTCACACTTATTCACCTGTAAATCCTCGACCATGGGCTCATATTGCTTCAGTCGTTCAAGTTCTGCGGTTAAGTTTTCAATTTGCTGCTGATTTTGCCGCATAGCTGCTAGACGATCAACCGCTTCTTGCTCACGGAATGATAATAGATTTTTTAATTTCTCAATTTCGCTTTGTTGTAGATTTTGTATCTTTTCCTGTTCTTCACAATATATATCCTTTTGCGTTTGCGCTACTTTCACAGTTTCTAATAGGATTTCGTTTGTCTTTTCTATGCGTGTCTTCTCCTCTTGAATTGTTTGCAAGCGTGTAGTTAGATCTGTCACCTTGGTGGTAAGCTCATTGCATTGACTACGCAATGTGGAGAGCTGTTCCGCCTGAAAAATGTTATATGTTTATATTTTAATTGCATATTTAAATATCATATGTTTACGCTCACTCCATAACTCTGCGAGTCCACACTGCCACCTCCGCCGGCGTCCTCATTAGTTGAATTTACACTTAATGTCGATGAGAAACGGCTGCGTATCCGATTGTTGTTATGGTTGATGTGCCGTGTATTCGTGGCTGTTGAAGCCACGTCTGAACCTGTCTCCTCTTTGATTTTATTTTTTAATGAAGCAAACATTTTTCAATGCCGCTGTTTAAATAAAGTCTTATTTGTGTAATTGAGTGCAGTAATAATGTTGTGTAAAACAATTGCCACATCCGTCATTTACATTTCATAAAACGGCACAGGCGAGTCTTACGATTTGCTGCTACTCCCTGTCATCGACTTCTGCCTCACCACTTTTGTGTATTGGTATTTTTTGCTTATGTACACTGGATTTTTCGACTGTTATCATTCGCAATGTTAAAGCAGACTGCTATACTTTTTGGTTTTTGTTATCGTAAATGCAAATTAGCTACGTTTAAAGTTATGCTAATGCAGCTTAGCAGGAAATAATCACACACCAGTCGGTATTTTTATGTTTTCCACCATCGAAAAATTTAATCCGTCCGTCCAAAGCTGATTGAAGTTTACTTACGTTGATAGTGAATTATTTATCGTAATCACGTAAGCATTTCTTGTGTACAGGGTGACACAGAGAATTAATTCCGTGTAACTTAATAATTTCAACCTGCAAACATTATTTTTTGTCGGTATATTTTTTTTTTATTTTGCGTTTGTTGATTTTAATACTCCTGGTTTTGGAATTTATCTCTTTGGAAACAATTCGACATGACTTAATCCAGGCTTTTGCAGCCGGTGCAGATAAAAACCCGGTTCTTTCCGGTTACTTACCCCCAACTGTTGTGGGAATGGCAAAATAGCCGTTGCCTTCTACACCTTTGTGTCTAGGGATCCATGGGACTAATCTAAGAAGCTCTCCCAGTTCTTTTTTTTATCGTCCAAAGATATCTCGTAATTTTTTATTTTTCTTTCGGAAGGAGGGTCTTCGGTAGCTTCTCCCATTGACTTTCTGTTTCTGTTTTTTCCTGTTTCAAGAGGCTGCCCACAGGGTAGACTGTTATCTCAACCGTTATGGAGGCTTTTCGTGGACGAGCTACTAATTTTTCTAACTAACAATTGGATCCGTTGTAAAAAAAAGGCAAATTCGAGGAAACTCTTTCCGACTTAATACAAAGGGGTTGAAATTCTTCCCTGGTGCGGTGGTTTTGAGCTGGACATCAACACCTCTAAGGCGACCATCGTCCAACCTTACCCTTGGGGTCAGTGAGGTAGAGAGGACCAACACGGTCAAATATCTTGGTCTCACGCTGGATTCCATGTAAATTCTGGAGCTGCAAGCCAAGGATTGTTAGGTGGTTGTACAGCGTTATCAAGCGATCGATAATCAAACTTCGGTAGGACTTCAATTATTAAAGCTGCATCTGCATATCGAGTGCAATGCGCACTTGTCCGATGGCAACAGTTGAAGTCATGCTTGATCTCACACCACTTCACTTCGTAATCGGTTGGGTAGCTAAACACACACTTCTCCAAATGACAATAGTAGGGTGTCTCGAGGTAAGGTAATGTCATCCCAGCGAATGGAAGAGTTAAGTGGTGTAATACCATTGGCTTTTCTCCCAAAGGACAGCATTACCAAGAAGTTCAAGGCTAACCTTAGCCGCAAGGCTGAACGGAATGATTCTACTCTCAATCTATTGCTAAGGGATAGTAAAATCAAGTGGTACACCGACGGCTCGAAAATGTCGGAGAAAATCGGTGCAGGGTCGTAGGATCACGAACCAAGCCTATGGATTTTTTTTCAAGCATTTTTCAAGCAGAAGTCTTTGCCATAAGGTTGTGCACAGAGATAAACCACCAACATGATAAATGAGTGTAGAGAAAGACTGAACAGTCTAGCAGAACATAACCAAATGAACCTTATCTGGTTGTCCGGTCACCAAGGTAGAGCCGGGAATGAACTGACAGATAAGTTCACCCGATCCGCAGCATCCCCTAACATGGTAGGACACGAACCATCCGTCGCGATGGGTTCGCATACCATAAAGGAGCTGCTCACTTCTCTAAGGACAACACCAGACTTCCAATTCAATTTCAAATATGCTGTTTCGCTGCCTAAAACTCTTCACTCGCACGTGTCACTGAAATATTCTCGATACAACTCTCATTTATTTCACTTCCACATGAAATACAACAACTGCAAATATTTGCACAATTTTATTATCAAAAGTCTTCCAGTAAAATAGGTAATAGATAGTTTAAATGGCTATGTCAGTATCCAAATAAATTCCAAATAACTCGACCATTACCAGCACTCCACAAATTTATTCGTTTTATGTGTGCAGGCCTCCTCTCAATCAATAAGTCTAATATTTCAGCCAAGCCGTTTTGCTCCACCACGTTTTTTTTCATTGTATTTTGTTCTTATTATTTTTATTTACAACTACATTTGACTGGCAACATCAGCCTACAACGGCGCAAGACTGTCTACTTCCGCCTGCAGTCAGCGGCGTTGCGAGGGAAAATCGCTCGCTCTAGTGTTGAGCTCTGATAAGCGGTCTGTGGACAAAGTCTCAAGTCTTTCGGTGTGGTTCTTCTTCATGCTTTTCTTCTTCTTCGTCTTCTTGCTCAGCGGAGCATCTCCATTTGCGAAGGCAGAAGTTAAGTTATGCTCTGCGTCCTTTTATGTATTTGTGTAGTTTGTTGTTGTTTGATTTTCTTCCGGCTTCCGGTGTTTTCCACAGCGTCGCATTAAAGTTGTACTTGTAGTTGTAGTTTTAGGGCTATGTGCCTTTGTATACATATATGCGTGTGTGTAATGGCAACTACAACCTATAAATTGAATGCTTATATTTTATGAGCATTTGTGAGTGTGTGCGTGTGTGTGTTGGGTTTGCTTCCTTCCATTTTTTGTTATCATTTATGTGCATGTCCTTTGTTAAGGGCGTTTGAGATTTCTATTGTTACTTGATTGTTGTAGCTGTTGTTGTCTGTGTTACGTTCAATTCGATTGCTCGCATTTTCTTGCTTATTAGACTACTTTTATTACAGACATACATACATACATACATACATACATACATATATACATATATGTATAAGTATATATATATGTAAGAGCATCTGCCTATTTGATACATCTGCCATATGTACATAGATATATGTTTATGTATGTAAATTAGGGTGTCCAATATTTCCCAAGTTGACTGCAGATGGCCCTGAAGCTTTATTTTTTGTCCATACAAGCTCTTGACCCCGTTCGTTCAGTTTCTATGGCATCTATAAGCTATTTTGGATTAATTTCAGATCAATATCTCAAAAACTGAGGGACTAGTTCGAATATATTAGGTTGTCAAAAAAGTCCTGCGGTATTTTAGTTGGCGCTGAGAGCGCGTAGTTCTAGTTTTATTCGTCGCATCGGGACATGCTATATCTTTCTGGAAAGCTCATTTCACGCGCTAACACGTGTTTGATTGATTGTCGTTTCTTTTAAATCGTTCGTGAGTTGTAGCGTCGCAAACATGGAGCAAAATAAAGAGAAAATACGGCATATTTTACAGTACTACTACGATAAAGGCAAAAATGCATCTCAAGCCGCCAATAAAATTTGTGCAGTTTATGGACCCGATACAGTTTCCATTACCACCGCACAACGATGGTTTCAACGTTTTCGTTCTGGTGTAGAGGTGGTCGAAGATGCGCCACGCTCCGGAAAGCCTGTCGTCGAAAATTGCGATAAAATCGTTGAATTGGTCGAAAGAGACCGGCATAGTAGCAGCCGTAGCATCGGTCAAGAGCTGCGCACGAGTCATCATACAAATTTTATGAACAATTGAAAATTCAATAAAAATACCGCAAGACTTTTTTGACAACCTATTATATAATATAAACTTGCGGACAGACGGGCATGGTTAAAGCGGCTCAGCTCGTTCTGCTGATCATTTATATATACTATATATTTTATAGAGTTTCCGACGATTCCTGCTAGGTGTTACAAACTTCGTGACAAACTTAATATGAATACCCTGCTCAGTGTATAAAAAATCAATCAACGGACACCCTAATACAAATGTAGGAATACTAATCCATATGAATATTTTTAATACATACATAGACACATTCGTATGCAGAAAAATAATAAAATTTCCTCAGCATTTTCCATGCCACTTAGTTACAAGTAGAGGGTTTTCCAATAAGAGTGGTATTATTTTTTCTGAATCAAAAAAACTTAAAAAAAAACACATTAACTGTTAAGGAATTTTAAATATTTTTTATTTATTGTGAAGTAAAATTGTCTGAAGAACAACAAACGGGCGGCACCGATGGATTACCGGCCGAGCTATTCAAATAAGGCGCCGAAGAACTGATAAGAAGCATGCTGTAGCTTCTTTGTGGGATATGGTGGGGCGTAAGCGTGCCCGACGATTGGAACTTAAGTGTGTTCTGCCCAATCCACAAAAACGGTGAACTCACAATCTGCGCCAACTACCGTGGGATAAGCCTCCTCAACATCGCGAATAAGGTTCTATCGAGCGTATTGTGTGAAAGATGTGAAAGATTAAAGCCCACCGTCAACAAATTGATTGCATCTTAACAGTGTGGCTTTAGACCTGGCAAATCAACAAACGACCAGATATTCACCATACGCTAAGTCTTAGAAAAGACCCGTGGAAGGAGAATCGACACACACCACCTCTTCGTCAATTTCAAAACTGATTTCGACAGCACGAATAGGAGCTGCCTTTATGCCGCGATGTCTCAATTTTATCTCCGCAAAACTAATACGGCTGCATAAACTGACATTGAGCTATACCAAAAGCGCCGTCGGGATCGCAAAGGACCTCTCCGACAGCAACGTTAGACTCGAAATCCAAAGCAGAATAACTTTTGCCAACAAGTGCTCCTTGCCTTAGCTGGTAATTTTTAAGTAAAGTCCTCTCTTGATGATCAAAAACCAAACTCTACAAGTCACTCATCATCCCCGCTATATGCTACAAAGGCTTGAACGATGACAACATCTGACGTTGGCGTTACGGGATTTCGACAGAAAGGTTCTGAAGATTTATAGTCTTTTGCGCATTGGCAGCGCCAAATACTACGGTCGATGAAACCATGAGCTGTGCGGGATCTACGATGACATTGACATAATTCAGCGAATCAAGAGACAGCGGCTACGCTGCCTAGATCAAGTCGGCCTAAATGATGAAAACTCTGAGAGTATTTGATGTAGTACCTGCCGGGGAAACCAGAGGAAAAGTAAGACTTTCACTCCGTTAGAAAGACCAGGTGGAGAAGGATCCGAATACAATTGGAATATCAAATTACTTACTTTTTCCACCCAAACAAGCTGCATGTCATGAACAGCATGTCTTGAAGAGAGCCTGATTTATTGCTAAAGACCAATGAATTTAAATAGCCCCATAAAAAGTAGTGTAATGGTGTTGAATCGCAACTTCTTGTAGTCCATTCAATGTCACAATTTCTTGCAAAAATCGAATCTCCAAATTTTGCTCGCAATAATTCGGTTGTTCCACGTGCTGTGTGATACATAACCCCGTC